AACAAAAAAAATAACTGTGTCTTGGCCCCTCACACATTTCTGCAGTTTAGGTTCTAAACCATAAAGTTACGGTTCTGGACTCAGTGTCTTCAGCTTCCCACTGCAACTCTTCTTGCCAAATAAGCCAGGAGTTCTGTTACATTTAATGTTTTCTAAGAACCACTAGATGGATACACTCATTTTAAATCTTAACATACTTGTAGGAAGAAACAGTAACAACAGACGCAGGCATCTCAGAAACTCAAAGTGTCAGTGGTGCCAAATGGGTCCCACAAGACTTCAGCACTGTTGATGCAAACCTAGCTAATTTAACAACTTCTTGACCGAACGGGGACAGGGCCCTTCAAACTAATGGCCACCACGATTTGCAAAAGGTTGCCAGTCAAATATACTTTTAACAAGTCAGAGAGATAAAGAAGAATAAAATGTTATATGGCAAAAGAAAAACTCAAATTCAAGGCAAAACATACTTTTCGTGCTTTATAATAAGTGACTAGCTTTGGCATCAAAAATTATTTGTTTAGGAATAAAAAATAAAAAATCAGAGCATCTCTGGCGGGGTTAGGAGTCCACACTTCCAGTGCAGGGGCACGAGCTTGACCCCTGGTCAGGCAACTACGATCCCATACGCCACACTGTGCAGCCAAAAAAACTTACTTTTTCAGACTCCTGCTCTACAGCGAATAGGGTTATAACAAGATTCTAGTTTATTTTTAGAGTGTGCTGATTAATATCTTTCAGAATGTTCCAAAATGGGTCAAAACACATAGTGGCTCATTTGTGACATATCTCACTTGTACTCACATTTAGGACACCTTTAAATGTAACCATGTGCATCCACAGACTTATCTCCCACCAGGAAAGCGGCACTCTACGCCCACTGACATGTCGCTTTCCTCACGACTCCACCCAAAATAAGGTGGAGATGAGCAGGTGTGATGAGCAGGGGCTTGGGCAAGGCTTCAAAACAGGAATAATAAAATTACAGTAGTTTATTATAAGCTTTCTTTCTCTTTCATGGGATAGAACTGATACAGAAGAAATCTAAACATAATTCTTTTCTATCTATTCTGATAAAAGAGCCAAAACAATAAAAAAAATAATAATTAAAAAAAAACCCAGACCACCTGACCTGCCTCTCGAGAAACCTGTATGCAGGTCAGGAAGCAACAGTTAGAAATGGACATGCAACAACAGACTGGTTCCAAATCAGGAAAGGAGTACATCAAGGCTGTATATTGTCACCCTGCTTATTTAACTTATATGCAGAGTACATCATGAGAAATGCTGGGCTGGATGAAACACAAGCTGGAATCAAGATTGCCGGGAGAAATATCAACAACCTCAGACATGCAGATGACACCACCCTTATGGCAGAAAGTAAAGAAGAACTAAAGAGCCTGTTGATGAAAGTGAAAGAGGAGAGTGAAAAAGTTGGCTTAAAACTCAACATTCAGAAAACTAAGATCATGGCATCTGGTCCCATCACCTCATGGCAAATAGATGGGGAAACAATGGAAACAGTGACAGACTTTATTTTTGGGGGGCTCCAAATTCATTGCAGATGGTGACTACAGTCATGAAATTAAGACGCTTGCTCCTCGGAAGTAAAGTTATGACCCAACTAGAGAGCATATTAAAAAGCAGAGACATCACTTTGCCAACAAAGGGCCATCTAGTCAAAGCTGTGGTTTTTCCAGTAGTCATGTGTTGGATGTGAGAGTTGGACTATAAAGAAAGCTGAGTGCTGAAGAATTGATGCTTTTGAACTGTGGTGTTGGAGAAGACTCTTGAGAGTCCCTTGGACTGCAAGGAGATCCAACCAGTCCATCCTAAAGGAGATCAGTCCTGAATATTCACTGGAAGGACTGATGTCGAAGCTGAAACTCCAATACTTTGGTCACCTGATATGAAGAACTGACTCACTGGAAAACAACCCTGATGCTGGGAAAGATTGAAGGTGGGAGGAGAAGGGGACGACAGAGGATGAGATGGTTGGATGGCATCACTGACTCAATGGACATGAGTTTGAGTAAACTCCGGGATGGAGAGGGAGGCCTGGTGTGCTGCAGTCCATGGGGTCAGAAAGAGTCAGGCACGACTGAGCGAATGAACTGAACTGAAATAAACTGAATTCTTTTAAAACAGAAATAACAAAAAACACTCAGAAGTGTTCACTATTCCCCAGTGTAGACCCTCAAGATTCCCACACGTGAAGTTCAACAAAATACCAGGTTCATAAAACACATGCAAGAAAACATGCCCCTGTGAATAAGTCAGCACAGGTCACACAACGGTCCCAATTTCCTGTTTGTTACTGACATGTGCCCATGAGCACCCTTGCACATATGCACACAGGTGCATCTTATTTCTTTAGAATGAATCCCCCAAAGTGGAATTATTAGTTTCAATCTTCTGAAACTGCCAGTACGCAACTTAACTTACAAAACTGTCAATGTCAATGGTGTCACAAACAAATCTGAACCCATTTAAAACTCCTGGTATTCTCGCCAATTCATTAGTTCTGACAAATCATAGCATTTTTCTTTTTCCTTCCCTCTTGGTAATTCTGGCATATCTACCTAGCCCCATGTAGCGTCAGTTAAGCCTGATACATGGGCCGAGTTGAGCAGTAACACCGGCCATCAACATAGGAAAGGGGCGTTACTATGACCACACTTCTATTTTCCTTTAAATCACAGGTACTTGGTAGGACATTATAAAAGCATACACGAAACAAAAGAAATTTTCAGGATCTTCCTGACCCAGGGACTGAACCCAGGTCTCCTGCATTGCAGGCAGATTTTTTACCACCTGAGCCACCTGGGACTAGACTAATTATTAGGATGAAAGTGAAAGTTGCTCAGTCATTTCCAACTCTTTGTGATCCCATGGACTACACAGTCCATGAAATTCTCCAGGGCAGAATACTGGAGTGGATAGCCATTCCCGGCTCCACGCAATCTTCCCGACCCCGGTTCCGATCCCTGGGTCGGGAAGATCAGCTGGAGAAGGCACAGAATACCCACTCCAGTTATTCTTGGGCTTCTCTGTGGCTCAGCTGGTAAAGAATCCGCCCACAATGCAGAAGACCTGGGGTCAATCCCTGGGCTGGGAAGATCCCCTGGAGAAGGGAAAGGCTACCTACACTCCAGTATTCTGGCCTGGAAAATTCCATGGGCTGTATTCCATGGGGTCGCAAAGAGTCGGACATGACTGAGTGACTTCACTTCAGGCTGAAGAAGAGAAACTCTAGGAATGGATGAAAGCAGAGGGGGGTGGCGGGGTGGGAAGGTGTGCACGCAGAGCACATGGGTAGGACAAGGTGTGTCCCATCCCACAGCAAGCTGCGCACACTCGCATCGGGACTCACAAGTGATGTGCTGAGTCCTCAAAGCTGGGTCCTGTCTACAGACTGGAATTCCAGGGTGGCAGATATGTGTCTCGTTTCATCAACATAAAGACTCTCTTTGGGAGGTGTTATATACCCCCTGTGAAGAAACTCATGGAGGCACCTGGCATCACGGAGCTGTGACACGTATGACTGGCACAGTACACCTCCAAGATGCCTCACACCCCTCGGACTTTACAGGGACCACTCACCTGAGTCACAGAGACAGCACTGAGACACGTCCCATCAGTAAGGGAAAAGCTGGGATAGGCCGGCGTGGGTGCTAGCTTTTAATCATATACACAGAAGCAAGGGCTTCCGAAAGGAAAAACTAGGACAACCTAGTAACAGTGTGAAAGGAACAAACTCGTTGCCGACTTTCAGGCTAGCCTAGAAATTATAAAAAGGAATAACTGAGAGCTATTTAGGCCCGTCTCAGGCATGCTGCAATCAATGTCTCTAAAGTAGTCACAGATGTCTTCAGTGGGTGGGTTTCTTTTTCAAAGAAATTACACCAGTGACTCAAACCATCTACAAGAGAGAAGAACAGAAATATGTTGCCTATCTAAACCCATCAGCCTCTTCCTTCCTCACTTCCCTGCTCCAGTGTGCTCAGCCTCCGAGTCCATCAAATCCTCCCACTGAATCTGCTTACCACCACACCGTTCCACCTCCCAACTTTCCAACTTCTTGCCCAAATAGCTAAAGAGCCCCCAGCTCGCTCACAGCCTTTTTAAGATCCGATCCACCCCAAGTACTGCCACCACATTAGGCTGATCTGATCAAGACATTCCTTACTTAAATTCTTTAAATACTCCCAACAATCTGCAGGGGAGAACCTAAAACCTGCTCCTTACACGGTGTGGTCCCAACTCTCTCGCCCATTTCCTCTCAAACCACTTTAGCACAGATTTCAATGTACTGTGTTTTATAAAGTTCATCTCTTCCTCAGCTACAAAGTTCCTCAGACGACATTTTGCAAGGAAGCCACCTGGACTCAACACCTCCCCTGTGTCAGCACCCCTCCATGGTACGTCACATCACTTGTGCTCGCAAACAGCACAGGACCAAACACAAAGGAACTGTTTACAGGAAGCCCACTAGATGGAGAATTCAGAATTTACGCCACATGCATTTACTGTCTAACTAACACCTTACAGAAAATTTAGAATTTATGCCACATGTATGTATTATCTACCCTTATGGGTAGTAAGAAAGCTACTTTTAGTTTAAAAACGTCACTTCTGGTTTTACACAAACTGCTACTGAAATTATATGGGAACAATTGGCTCTGGATAAACATCTGACAGGTTTGTTGATATTCAGGCACGATAATTATACTTGAATTAAAGAGAGAGCAAAGGTTGTATCACTTAGGACTTACTGGTTCTACTTAAAGTAAGTCTTAAGATTTGCCCAAGTATATAAAAATTCACAACGTAACAAAAACTCCTAATTTCTTACAAGGTATAAGAATCTCACTACCATACAGTGACAAATTTATATTCTCCCAAATATTAGGCTTAATCTAGTTCTAAAATAAAACCATGAAATAAACAGGATTCAAAGAAACAAGGGAAAAAAAATGTATTAAAGCACTCTTCTATACCTGTTGATAGAAGAAATTCAAAGTTGGCTTGTCTTCAGTAAACTGGTTTAGAAATCCTTTTGGCAAATAACGAATTCTCAATTCATATCTAAAAAATAATTAACAAAGGAAAACAATTAGAAATAAGTCATTTCTTCTTCATGGTCCAAACAATATTGAGTATGGCACTGCCAGTTACTGAAATATTATTCTGAAAAGAAGTTTAAATATAGTCTGTAAATATTTCCTTTTGCTGCAAAAAATAAAAAAATAAAATGTGCATGTGAGTGTGCTACAGCCCAAGGTTCCTGCTGGGGACAGAAGCTGACGAGATACTCAGAGGGCGCCCAGAAGTCCCTCTAGCCCCACTGCCCGAGGGCAGCACCGCCTTCCGCGCCCGGAAGGCGAGCTCTGCCTGCCTGGAGTCACACAAGATGTGTCTGGCTCCCTTCAGGAGACTACTGTCTCTCAGGTTTGCTCACAGCCCTGCCCTGTTTAACACACCCCAGTGACTCACCCCCACTACCCTGAAGGCTGCTGAGAGCTTTCCAGCCCAGGGCTGTGAGGAGTATTGCTGTGAACACTTTTTATAGTCCTCTAAAAAAGCAATTTTGCTCAGGAAGCCAAACCTCAAGAATGACCAAAACAAGTTTCACCAGAACGCTCTCTCTGTGCCTCATGCATGTGTGTGCCCACCCGCATACACTCTGGCAGGCACATATGCATCTCTGCTGGGGGTGCTCCAGGGACACACCACTGGGTCACAACACGCACTCACACTGTCCAGAGCAGACACAAGCTACAGGGCTGTAGCGCTGCCCGCTCCACTTCCACGAGCGGGGCCACACCGGGGTTCTGGTTCCACATTCCTCGTCTCTACTTGGCACTCTAACCTTTTCATGTGAGTCACCCTAATGTTTACTGCAAGAGCACACACTGGTTTTAATCAGCACTTCCCTGATGAATAACAATGGGCACTTTCTTGTTTGATAGCCAGCCATTCTGGTTATCTCCCTCAGTCTGGTTATCTCCTTCAGTCTGTTAAACCTCTCGTCCTTTGTTTCTACTGAGCTGTCTGCCCCACCCCACCCCACTGATTCATAGGTATTCTTTACAAATTTTGGATGCGAGACCTTTGTTAGACTTGGTGAAGATATATCCTCTCCCACTCTATGGCTTGCCTTTCACTATTTTAATCATACTTTAAAAAACTTATTTTTAAAATCTTCTAATTTTAATGGTATCTTTTGTTTTAATGCAGTCCTATTTATCTTTTTCTTTTTAGTAAGTTCTTTTAGTTTTTTGTTTATAAAATATTTGCTTACACAAAAGTTACACAGATTTTTTTCTAAAAATTTCATAAATTGATCTTTTAAAATTGTATTAAGCTCATGACGAAAAGAATCCAAAGGAGTCAATACAATTCTTTTGGTTCAGTTAAGGGTGGTTCAACGCAAGGTACACATACACAAGTTTTGCTGACATTTTCAAGGGTCTATCTTATTAAAATATACAACTGTCAAACAACAAAGTTCCATTGTCCTTTGAATCTCAGAAGGAGTTCAATAACTTTCTGCAGACATTCTCATGGGACAACTGTTGATAGAAGCAGAATAATTTCATTTTGAGTTTAGGATTTGGCAGGCACCTTTTAGGCACCATTTCTCTTAATCGACATAATAATCAGAGAACAAGAGCATAAGTATTCATATTCAGCAGAGTGGGAGAACGACACTCAGCAAGAATAAGCAGTAAGCAGCCAGTTTCCAGGCTGGAAGCTCCAGGATCAACAGGCTGCAGGAGGCTTTGATATTAACATTGCCCCATTTTAATGATTAAAGAAAAAAAAAAAACAAAAAAAAAAAACCTGGCAGCTTGTTTTGGCCTGCTAAACATTTGGGCTACATGTCCAGGCTCTTAACATCATCCCGACAATGATGATGATGATATCAAATAACATTCAGGGACTACTCGGGATGTCACAGAAATCATGACAAGCATTTTAACCAGATGACCTCTTTTCATCAGCAACGACCCCCAGAAGAAGCAGAAAGAATGCTCTGCATCAAGACCACCTGCGCCTGAGTTCTGGCTCTACCCCTTGTTCGCTGTCTGCCATCACTTCTCTGCGCCTCAATTTCCTCACCGGACTCTTTGCCACCCCAAGGACTATACACAGCCCATGGAATTCTCCAGGACACTGGAGTGGGCAGCCGTTCCCTTCTCCAGAGGATCTGCCCAACCCAGGGATCGCACCAGGGTCTCCTGCCTTGCAGGCGGATGGATTCTTTACCAACTGAGCCACCAGGGAAGCCCTCATCAGGACGCTGGGAGAAGTGAAAGGGCTGTCACTGCGCACATCACAGCCGTCTCGACGGCTGATCCACCATATTAGCCATTACTCGACAAACACTTCAGCACCGGTCACCTACAGACACAATTCCAGAGTCTGGGAAGACACTGGTGAATGAAACAGCAGGAGGCGCCAGCCTGCAGAAAACTTCTATTTTTGCGGTGGCAGCCAGACAGCAGATGCGTCAAGTATCTCTGAGGTGGCGATGTGATAAAGACACGCCAAGCAAGGGAAGGGGAGGAGCAGATGATGCAGCAGCTTTCTGTAACGGGGCCAGGGAAGCAGGCTGACTCGGGACACCTGGGTAGGTCCAAAGGCGGGCAGGGAGGAGTCAGGGCAGTAACCTGCAGGAAGGAAACAAGCAAACGCCCTATGGCCCGGGGGAGCCTGGAGGAGTGCAGCCGCAGCCCCTGTGCGCAAAAGGGCTTTGGGGAGGCGGGGGACAGAGGTGGCAGGCCACACAGGACCCTGCTCGTCACAATGCGGGGCTCGTTCTGCTGGGAAAGGGGGCCCAGGGGCACTGTGGCCAGAGCAGTAACAGCACAGTCCTGGCGCCCAGCCAGGCAGGGCCGTGAAGGGCAGACAACAGGGCCGCAAGGAGGCTGGGGAAGGACTGGCAATAGTGACCAAGTGCCCAGTTCACCCTATCTTCATAGATGGGGGAGAACAGACTTTGAGGACATGCGGTAGCAGCCAGGGTCCCACGGCTGTTGACAGGCAGCCCGGGATTCCACCACAGCAGAGACGCCCCTGAAGGCCCAGGGGCGGCATGACCCTAAGAGAAGGCATCTATGCTTAGAACAGAGAGGAGTGCACGTAGGTTGGGTCTTGCTTGTGGGGTTGGGCAAGGTCTCTAGATTGTGATGGCGTTTTGGTCTCTGCTTCAACCCACTACAATCTCATATTTCCTCCCTCACAGCCCTAATGGAACGCCGCCCAAGTCTCCGAGTTCAATTCCAGTTCAGTCACCTTGCCCCACTCCTTAAAACTCCACACCTGGCGTTCACAGCCTCCTGACCCACCTGCGCAGGCATCCTCTCTCCCTTCTCCTCCAGGAAACTTGCCATTTTCCTCATAGTGAAACTTCTGCTACTATTCTAAGAGCCTGGCTCTGTCCTGATAAACATTTCCACGTCTCTGCTCTAGGCCACTCCATGATTTCTGAACAACAGCTAACTACAACATGCCCCAGATAGAACCATCCTTTCGCTTCTGCTTCTAAGTAATTGTTGTTGTTCAGTCACTTAAGTCGTGTCTGATTCTTTGCAACCCCATGAACTGCAGCATGCCAGGCTTCCCTGTCCTTCACTATCTCCCGTAGTTTGCTCAAACTCAAGTCCATTGAGTCGGTGATGCCATCCAACCATCTCATCCTCTGTCGCCTAAGTTAATACATTACCATTAACACTGTCAACACCTAACTTCTTCAGTCTTATCTCCAACTGTGAGCACCAAGATACCCACAAGTTCACCAAGATACCCATGAGCTCGCTAATGAACTAATAATGATGGGGAGGAGTAGGAAATAGTTTTGCAAGTTGAGTTGGATGAATATTCAGATAACCCTGATACTCAGCTCGTCAGACTGTGTGTAGTGAAATAGACAAAAGTACAATTTCAGGAAGCTACACAGATGGCCCTCGGAAACAGTGGGGTGTGGACAACTCTTCTCACACAGACTTCCAATTTTGAAAGCCTACAAGGAAGGACAGAAATAGAAATTCACCATTTGGCAAAAATCACAGCAATAAATACTGCAGAACAGAATCATCAATGATGTTGAGTGGGCGAAAATACAATGAGAGAGAAACTGCACAGTCTCTGCATCTCCTTAGAAGATAGTACTTAATTACAAAGAGGAGGACAAACAACCTTATAGCAGAGAAACCTGGCCACCACCTTAAATCAAATGATCCAAGTTAAAGCCACCAGTAAAATGAATCATATCATCAGCAAAGACTTCCTGATAAAATGCTAAGTGAAAACGACAGCTTGACTGTGGTACTCTTCCCCGAGTGCTTAAGCTCAATATGATCATGGGGGAAGAAACACCAAACAAACCTGAACTGAAGAACACGCAAGACCACCAGCCAGTGTACTTCAGAAGGGCCAAGGTCACGCAGACAAAGACAGCCTGAGGGCCTGCCACAGAGCAGGAAAGACCCGAGGCGACAGGACACGGAGGTGCACGACGTTCTGATCTGGACCCCAGGCTGGAAGACGGACACCCTGAGCCCTGATGACATCTGTGCATCAGTCAATACTATGGTAGCAATGTTAGGTCCCCAGTTTCAATAACTGAACTGTACTTAAGTAAGGTTTTGACATTTAGGGGAGGGGGGCTGAAGGTACACAGGATTTCTGTGTACTGTTTTTGCAGCTTTTTGATAACACATTGAGAATAAAAATAAATTCTCACAAACCTAAGACTGACTGTCCTGTAGCTGTGTTAACAAAACACCCACCAGATCCAGTTTTAAACCAGTCTGGTCAACGAACATCAGTTTTTGTGGCCATAGACTGGCCAGAAGGCTGTTCATTCCTGTGCTGGGTCTGGTGCAGAGGTATCCAGGAAGCGTTTAATTAATCAATCAGCAAATTTGGAAGTCCATCCTGTTTTCTTAAAAGGTGTCACTTCCACACTTGTCAGAATGTTCCTCTATTTACTGTCTTACTGATTTAAATAGTCTAAAGAACTCTTATTGAATTCAGTGTCATAATGAAAGCCTAGCCTTTCAAATTAAGGTATATGCACA